ACAAATACAATATACTGGTGACAGAGACGGTCCAGATGAACTGAGAGCAAAGAAGTTTACAAAACCAATAGCACTTTTCACGGAAGATGCTCTTTGAAGATTCGTTCGATGAAACCTGCTGGGGCTCCTCAGATTGGCATAACGACAGCTTCCATCGAGCAGATTTTGGCAGCAGGTCAGTAAGTTGTTCTTGAACTGACTTCTCTCCGTCAAATATTGACAGTACGCCAGTTTTGACATAATATTGTAAGATAAACTTACCTTTAGAAATATCTGTAAGTTTTGTTGTTATATTTTTGTCAACGTCAAGAACTTTCACCATTTCAGTTATACCAACTTTCTTTGCTTTATGAAAATATTTAGGTTCAGCAAAGACTGCTATTCTATAACATTTTCCATTGTTTGTGTAAAGAACTATTCTGTCAATGTATTTGTATTGTTTGTGAGTATAAACTTTGTTCTGCTTCAATTCAATAAGATATCCGAATACGTCCATCTTTTTATTCTAAGTAAAATGTCATTTCCGAAAAATAGAAGCGTAAGTGTTTCAAAAGGTTTAATGGCGGTGGCAGATGTGAAGTTAAATTCACCAACTCAAACAAACAGTCAAAGTGTTGTTGTCAATGTCAAAGACAGAGATGTTGAAGTGGGGAAACCATACGAAGACGAAATGGTATAACAATTGTTCCTGTAAAAGAACCAACATATCCTGAAGTTAGCAGAGACTTAAGTTCTGTTGCAGATATTCGAAATGACTACCAACAACTGAAAGACAAACTTCAAACTCAGGAGAAGATTTGTCAAGCTTTAAGTATAATGTTAAACTTGGTCGAACACAACCCTGTAAAAGTGAACTCATATGTCATTGCACCTCATGAAGTTTTGAAAGAACTATTGAAACTTTTGAACAGAGGCAGACGATATAAACATCAAAGAAATAGAACCCGACATTAGTTGCTGTGGTGTTTCATATAATGTCATTGACAAGATATACGTTATGAAAGGAGGTGAAACGTTGAACTTAAAGTATAGTTTCCAGACGTCATAAAAATATTTGACGACCACAACATTTCATTAAAATTTATTTGCTAAGTAAATGGCAGAAGATATAATGGTTTATACTATTACGACTAAAAACCCTGAGTCATATAATTCTATAACAACAAACTTACAAAGTCCTCAAGGACGATATTGTAAACTAACCTTAAACACAATGACGACTAAAGCCTGTTTTGCTCTTTTGACACCAGAAGACTTTATTGTTGTGAATGGTAAAAAATACTCCTTTGAAGATACTTACTCAGATATACCACAACAGGTTTTTGTTGACTTATTTAATACTTTAAGTACGGGTGTAACATGTGCTGCAACTAGAGCAGGTTTCATTATGTTTGGATGTCCGACTGAGTTTACTATAAACGATATGAGCTATAATACAAAACTTATTTCTGGTTTTTACTACCAACAGTTTCCTATAACAGGAAAAGGTGTCATACAAGGAATGTCTATTCCATTGACATTAAGCACACCAATCTTATATATTGTTTCAAACTTAGGTTCAAAGTGTTATTCGAATGTCGACAGAAAACTATTATGACCAAAAGATACTTATGCGTATAAACAATACTTTCTCTGCTGGTTTGCCTATTGTTCATTCGAATGCAGAATTTTCAACCTTAGTGAACTCAAACACTTTGGCAAGTATAACGTTGACATTAGTTGACGCAAACTTTGTTCCTGTAAAACTTTTATGTCCTATGTATTTGTCAATGACGGCAGAAAGTTTCGAATTGGAAGATGCAACTGGTGAAAGTATTGTATTACAAGAACAACTTCAACAACAAATAGCTCAAGAACAACAAATGCAACAACAAAGTCAAGAATAAAAAAATATTTTTTTTATTTTTATAAAAATGTAGAATAGATGTTTCAGATTTTTATGACTTCCAAGCATTCAGAAATATGTGTCCATTTAGAGACTATAACAAAGCAGTCGAGAATTTGAAAAGTTTAGTCATTTATATCGACTCTGCCCCAGAATGTTATGTCATGAAAGAATGGGATGTTGTCTTTAACAAACCAAGAGCAACAATAGTTTCAGAACAAGAATGTAGACAGAAACTTAAGAAAATAAAAGTCGTACAAGTTGGCATGAAGATGTTAGATGCTTGGGATATCTTATTGTCAAAGTTAGAAGATTTTTCAGTTCGAGGTATAAAGTTCTATACACCTTCTCCAAACTTCTATTCTATCTTCACTGGATATAAATACGAACAAGTAGAATGGAAAGAAAATATTATAGAAGCTTGGTTAGACCATGTCAAAGAAATTATATGCAATGGAAACGAAAAGGTTTATGAGTATATCTTATGTTGGTTTGCAAACATCTTACAACATCCAAGTGCTAAAAATGAAACTGCTCTCATTATAATTGGAAAACAAGGAACAGGTAAGAACACATTCTTTACAGATATTTTGTGCAAACTGTTAGAAGGCTATTCGAACCCGAATATGACAAACTTAGAAAACATCTGCGGTAAATTTAACTCCTCAATAGAGAATATGAAACTTATAGTTTGCAATGAACTTCAAAGTATAGATACAACAAAAGTTTTAAACTCAGATGCTTTGAAGAGTCTTATAACAGATAAAGTTGGAGTTGTTGAAAGAAAATATAAAGACCAAAGAGTTTGTGAAAATGTTGCAAACTTCATTATGGTTTCAAACAATGCTGTTCCGATGAAGTTAGAAAGTTCTGACAGAAGATATGTAGTTGTCAGAACGTCAGATTCTCATATGCAAGATACAGAATATTTTGACGACTTAGCAGAAACTTTGACATCTGACTTTTACAACCACTTGTTCTCATACTTTATGACATTAGATATTTCAAAGTTCAATCCAAGACAAATTCCACATACCGAAGAGAGACAAACATTGTTAGAAGCAAACAAGAGTGTATATGAACTGTTCATAGATGAAACTGACTTTGAGTGTTTAGATGAAAGGTCATTGTACGATTCGTATAAACAATATTGTCAAGAATATGGTTATATGACAGCGTCTAAACGAACATTCTTGGCAAATGTCAAAAGTCTTTTAGACGTACAGAATGGTGTATATACAAAGAAAAATTTTTCTGAGTAAATTTTAAAAAAAATATTTTTTTATCCGATAGAAAAGATGGCAAAATTCATCTCAGTAAACAAGTACATGTCAGGACTTAAAGAAGAACTAGACCCATTCACATATTTGAATGTTTACTTCTACCATTTTGAAAAGTCTTCATTCAGCAAAGTTTGGAACATCGAACCAGTTAAGTTTGCTATTGTGACTAAAAATGGTGCGAAATTTGAAGACTTAGACATAGAAGGTTTGTTAGCAGTCAAAGAAAGTTTTGACAGAAGGTTTTCAAACCTTAAAGAAGGCAAAGCATACAAACTTGTTATACCTTATGAACCAAAGAAAGCAGACGACTATGAATATTATGAGTCTAAGATAGTTGAAGTTCAAGGTAAATTGGGTAAAAAGATTTTAGAGTCTAAGCCAGTGTTTGCTCCTAAAGAGGAAGAGAACATTGACATTGACCCAGAAATGTTCTAAAAATAAAATTTTATTTTTACATGTCAAATTTCTTTTTCTCTGGAACTGGTTCAGGTTCTTTCTTCTCTTCTTCTACTTTCTTTTCTTTCTTTTCTCTCTTCTTCTTTTCTGGTGGAGTTATGTCAAATTTGGCGCAACCATATTTCTGTAAAAGTTCTTTGTCCTTTAATAGCTCTTCTATTCTGTTTTCTATTTCATCTTCAAGAACAGCGCATGTGTCTTCTTTGCATTCTATGAAGTTTTGTTGGACTTCATCTCTCCAAGAGGCGTCATCTCTGTCAACAAGTCTGTCATTGACAAATTTTAAGACTTCTCTGCTTAATGTTTTATGGTTCTTGTCATATTCCCAGAAACAGAACTTTAGAACAAATTCACCTTTCTTGTTTACACTATGTAAGATTTTATGGTCGACAGATGTTTTGCTGTCGAAAAGCTTGTCTCGAATATAGATAGCGAAATCGCTAGACATTTTCTAAAAGATAAAAATTTTAATTTTTCTAAAAATATGTTAGAAAAAAAGTTTGCTGACATTGACAAAAAATTTGAGAATGTTTTAAACAAGAACAAGAGGAAGTTAGAAAATGCTCAGATAAAACCTATACATGACAAGTTCTTATTTGCTCAGAATGGTATAACAGGTCTAATTGCACCACCTGGGTCGGGTAAGACTTTCACTTATCTTAAAATGGCTGCACAACAACAAGAACTAGATGAGAAGAACCCATTCTATGAGTTAGTTGTCATTTGTAGTACTTCGGGTCAATTTGACCAAACCGTCAATTCGTTCAAAGATATTATAAAGAAGTCTAAGTTAGTATGTATAAAAGACTCTGAGTTGTTAGATTGGATAAAGAAGTACCAAAGAAGAGTTTTGAAGTACAATGCTATAAATGAGTATGTCAATTCGAAGTTTAAAGACCCAAATGAGGAAATGCAGAGAATATTAGAGAAGAAACACTTCAGAAACAAACAGAAAGAGATAGAATACATTTCGAAGAAATTGCAATCTTACGATTGGAAGACATACCCTCATAGATGTCTTCTTATCTTAGATGATTTCGCCTCTCATCCTTTGTTAAAGAACAGAGAACAAGATATGTGTCGAATTCTTAAGAAGCTCAGACACTTTAACATCTCAGTTGTCATTTGTGTACAGACAGCAAAGAGTTTAAGTAAGGATGTTAAAAGAATACTTACTGACATTGTACTTTTCCCCGGATTGTCCGAAGACGATTTCATGGAACTTATGAAAGAGTCCATAGCAGGTAAGTTTGACAGATATGAACTATGGGAGAAGTATAAAGTCATACAAGACCCTCATACTTCTTTCAGAATTCATATCTACGCAAACAAAGTTCAAATTGTAAAAAGTCAAGCGTAAAAATAAAGAGTGCAATTTACTCTACTTGTTTGAAGTTGTCAAAATACTCTGTTATTTTTTCCTTTAACAATGGCAAATCTTCTTTGAAGGTAAGAATTGTACAACCTTTAATATCATAGTGTGTTTGAGGTAAAGTATCTTGAACTATTTGTTTCACATCTTCATTCGGTGTCATTGAAATCGGTAAGTTTTCGCGATAGAACCAATTTCTGTCAGATTTGTAAATCTTAGCAAGGTCGTAAAAGCTTTTGTTGTTTCTTCTGACTAAATGCAACATAACCATATCTTTATCTTCTTCATTTTCCATCTCTTCAGTATAAATCATATACTTATAGTTCTTTTCCTTTCCTTTTGGTACCGAACGTGGTATTCTTTTCTGAATGCTTTTGTCTTTTGCTTCAAGCTTGTTTTCCATCTCTTCACGTTCTTGTCTATGAATTTCGTCAAGAAGTCTGTAAATATACCAAGCATAACGAGGCGAAGCCCACATTGCAACAGCATTTACAAGAAGTCTATGTACATAATATCCTCTCAAACCGTTTGGCAATTTTTCACGATTTTCATAGAGTTTTGGCGACTGGGGTTTTTTACCTACTCGCTGTTCTTCACTGTTTTCAGAAAAAAGTATGTCTCGCTGTGCTTCATTTAATAGTTCAATAGTGCTTTGGTTCCTAAACCAGTCTTTAGGAAGCTTAGTATCTGGAGCAAAACATGCTGTCAAAATACTTTGCATTTGGTACATATCGTCTTTGACCGAACGAATGAGACGGAGTTGTTTGTTAAACTGAACCCACTCATATTCTTCATTTATAGCTTCATGGACTATAACTGTTGTTGTGTTCTCTGTTGTTGACATTACTGTCTTTACATACAAAATAAAAAAATAAATAAAAATAAAACTAACTTTATTTTTTCTATCTTAAGGAAATTCATGATTTTTGTGCTGAATTCAATAAAAATAATGTTTAGTCTTAGTAAGATGGTAGCTTCTTAAAGCAAATACCATTGCTGAGTTTTATGTACGTGAAGAGAAGTACAATGAATTCAATTACGAGTACAATTGCAATGACAACTAAGGCAACTATTTTTGTCTTTTGCCAGCAAGGGTACTTCTTCTCTTCCAATGGTTCGGCAGAACTATACTCACTCATGAGAAATGCCAAAACGGTTTAATAGAAAAAGTGTCATTTTTTTCATGTCAGAAGACTCGAAGGTGCAACACTTCCAAAATACCGACGAACTCAGAAGAGCAGCATGGCAGTATGTTCTTGACAACTTCTTTGAGTTCTCCAGGTACACCTTGGAAAATGCTGAAGAACTCCGACACAGAGAATTTGGAGAAATTGCGCTCCAATACTACCTTGACAAACAAAGGGTAAAATAAGACTAAAAACTTAACGTTTAAAAAGTGACATTTTTAATGAGCTCCGAGTCACCGAGAAAACTTGGTCAGATGTTAGCAGCTTACTTCCCTGAGGAGGATGGAAGCGTTACATACGTAAGGTTCAAAAACAACGAACCTGGAATTGCGTACCAAATTCGCAATTACATGACCATGGAAGAGTACGAAAGGTTCCTACAAGAGAAACCAGCTCTAAACAACTCAGAAAAGAAAGAATAAAAAGTTTAACTCGTAATTGTTTATTTTTTTACTTGTATGGGCAAGCTGCAAGAATGAAGTCGACTATCTCAGTCTTTGTTTTGACGAGCTGGACGGCTCTTGCGAGTACGTCTGTTTTGCGGTCTCCAGCTGGTGTCTGACCTTCGTAATTGCGCATGTTCTTGAGAGCTCCAACTGCAAATGATTGTAGGATGAAGAGTCTCTCAGACTGCTTGAGGTAGTCTTCACGGTCACGAACCGAATCTGTGGTACGAGTCGAATCGGTCGATTTGAGGGAAGAGACTGAAAGCCTGTCGTCTTCCATAGGGGCTGTGGCATAATCTTTGCGTAAGCGGTTCAGACCTTCTTCGAACTCTTGGTCTCTCTTCGATTTGGATTGAGATTGGAATTGCTGGGGTGGAGCTTGCTGGAACATCCAAGGGTTGGGGAAGTAAGGCATAGGCTGAGGAGGGTAGTTCGGGAAGCCTTGTGGTGGGTAGTAATCTTGAGGTGGAAATTGGTAGTAAATCGGAGGTACTTGCTGGAACTGAGGTTGCTGAGGAGACTGTTGTGGTTCTGCAGCTTTCGGTTCTTCTGGTTTGGGAATGGACTCGGTTGGTGGGACGTGGGACATTCGTTTGTGTCCTGTCGGATGGAAAATTTTTTCCAGTTGTCGGGAAAAACTTTTCCTGTCGGAAGGAAGAACTTTTTCTGTTGGAAGGAAAAACTTTTTCTGAAGTTCGACCAAAAAGTTCTCAATTTTCGAAAATTTGAATGGTTTACGGACGGACAACTGGAAGAGTTCTTCCTGTCGGAAGGAAAAATTTTTCCCTTTGTCCGGAAAATTTTTTCCAGTTGTCGGGAAAATATTTTCCTGTCGGATGGAAGGACTCGGAATACCAGAAGGATTTGACGAGGCAATTTACCTTATAGAGATAAATGAAGTTGTTAAGCAGTACTTGCGCAGGGTAATGAAGCCCAAGGTCAAGTTCACCACTATTTCTGGAAGGTCTACACTTCAGCTCGAGACTTCGACTGGAATTCCAATTCAAATACCAGACGGGACAGCCTACGATGGCATAAAGGACGCCAAAAGAGAAGCTCTTGTTAAGTTCCTAAACAAACGTCCTTGGATAAAAATACCAAACAAGGAGAACCCCCTACCCCATATGAAATTGGCAATTCAGTCTCTCCTTCACTTCTCGGGTCAGCCGTTCTACATAACCTGTGAAGGCGACATCCAACCAGTTCAAGTCAACCTTAACGTTTAGAGTAAAAACATTTTTTTCATTTTTTGAATGAAGCAAGTTAAATTCGTCCCACACCAATCTCAATGGACCGATGAAGAGTTTCAAGCCATGCTTGAAGACGTTGAGAACGACATAGACGGCGAACTTGAAGGAGCTCAAATCACAATTGCAACCAAAATTGCAGGAGTCAAGGAACAGATAGCTCCACTTAAAGCTACCAAAGCTACTCTTGACCTCATGGATAGTTACCGTTTAGATGTCAAGAGTGGAATAAGACAATTAAAATTAAAACTTCTAAACTACGAAGCTATACTCCAAAAGTTAGCAGAAATGAGAAGACTTTACCAGAGCTACTTACATGTAAGGGACTTACCTTCAAGCAGTCCGACCAAAGATGAATTTGTTGACATTGTCCCAATTTTGTCCGAAAGTCAGCTCAGATGTTTCGAACTGCTCCCAACATATCCGGAATATGAACGTTTGCCTGAACTCTTCCGCAATCTCAAAAAACGTTTTTTGGTTCTCATGTTCCAAACTTTTATCGGAAGAGACAACAAACGTTCAGAAGAAGAACAAGATATTATTTTAAACTTGTTGTATGACATAACTGTCATAACAAGCTTTTTGAAGTAAAACCGCATTCTCAAACCACTTCATTTTTTCGATGTCCGAACAAGCACCGAAGCCAAACTCAATGGCAGATGTCCTTTCAAGGTTGCCAGACAAGCGCCCAGTTCAAATTCAAATTGCCCAATTGAACGCTCATCTGACAAACACCATTAAGACTCTCCAAAGTAGTCTTATGTTAGAGATAGCCAATCTCAAAGCCAATGTCCTCACGAACCAAGCTTCCAATGAGAAAGTCCTGAACGATTTCGCGGAAACCTTGCGCCAATACAACATAGAGAACCAAAACCTTGCCCGACTCATCTACCGTTTCTTCGAAGAGATAGACGCCATCTGGAAGGTACTCGGAAAGGACAGAACATGCAACACCGTACTTCGTGAGTACCAAATTGAAGAAGGAATTGTCGAGGAAGAAGAGGAAGAAGAGGAAGAAGAGAAACACGAAGAAGTTCCTGAAGCCGCTACATGGGCAACCCTTGTTGCCGATGACGCTTACGAAATTTCCCAACCCTACCCATACCAAATCCGCAACAAGGAGACAGGCAAGGTTCTTACCCCAGTCCTCAACAACTTGGGACACTTGAACCTTAACCTTCGAAATTACGGTTCAATTTCCATGGGAAGGCTTGTCGGTATGCAATGGGTTCCAAATCCAGACAAGAAGACGAGGGTCAGACACATTGACGGTGACAAGCTCAACAACCGTAAGGAGAACCTCGAGTGGTTCTAAGAGTAAAAAAATTTTATTTTAGGGGGAAACCCCAAGTAAATTTAGGTGTTTATTTGGATAAGTATGTTAAATTAAGGGTAATTTGCAAAATTAGTTCCCGACCTTTGAATTGGACTCTTTCGTTATCCCAGTTGCGTAGGAGGTCGTCCCAGAGGAGTTGGTAGAATTGCCAATCCAAGGACGATTTGTCCTCCCAGGCATTGAGGATGTACTGCTCGTAGAGTTTCATGACCTCTGCCTTGCACCAGACACCCTCTCCCTTGGAACGTAAGGCTTCTTCGAAGTGCTCGAATGCGATTGGCTGCTTGACCATCCGAAATGACACTTTTTGTCCGTTTGGTCAATGTTTGTGTCTCGTGCCATAGTCGATGAAAATACAGACAAACAGGTTATATATGAGTTTGAGACCAAGAATGGTGTAACTCGACCTGTCCGATTCAAAGACTCCGAGGGCGACCATGAAATTAAACGGAAATTAGCTAGGAAGGAATATAAAATGGACTGGTTGCCACCACCTCCACCTCCACCACCTTTACCTGTTCCTCAAGTAAATAAGCCTTTCCCGTTCCCAAGAATTCCCACATTTTAATTCAAATTCGAATAAAAATTTTTTATTTCATGCAATGTTTTATTTCTGTGCCGTCTTCAAGTATGCCCCAGTACTTACGCTTGGAGAGGACATGAACTTCGGTGAAAATTTTGTCCAATTTGAATTGACCCATCTTTTCACCGACCATTCCCATTTCAATGAGTTTGTTGTATCCTTCTTCGTTCGTCATGAGTGCGTCAATGTTCTCATAGTAAACCTTCACTTTCGATTTGACTTCCGAGAAGAATTTGTTGTAGTTGTCAAGGACTGCTTTGCGAACTGAGGGTAAGACCAATGTTCGACAATAGGTTTTAATGTGGTTACTAAGCCACTTTGACCTTGAGTGAATTCGTACTTCAAAACAAAAGGAGAAAACCTTTCAACAAAGTTGTCGACCTTCTCATAATGTTTACTCTTCATCTCTTGAGGTTTCTTAATGGAATATCCCCATGTCGAATTCATAAGCAATTTGAGTGTCATTGCAAGTTTGGGGTTTGAAGCTTTCCTTAATATCATACAGTTGTTGTAATGACTTTTCCAACTGTATAGTTCCTTCCCGGGAACTCACCATCTTCGTTTGGAATTCCAGTCGGAATATATTGGACAAACCTCATGTATGCAGCGTTAAGGTCGACATAGTATATCTTTTCGTTTGAGTCGAACTTGTCGCAACCAATTGGTCCGGTTTGTGGAAATTCAAGTGAGTCTCTTATCTTCTGAGAAACTTCTCCTGTTATCTCATAAACATCGTCGAAGCAACCTGTTTCATATAAAACCTTCTGACCTAAACTCAGATGCTCTCCAATACAATTTGACGTCAATTGGATGTCTCAATGAAAGTTTATTTATAGCATCTTGAAGTTCTTGCAACCTCATTGGAAGTTCTTCTGGTTCAGGTTGGTATCCGAACAATCCAACTCCTTGTGGAATTGTGTACTTCTTTTGTACTAGAACTTTGTCTGGAACAATTTTGGTCTTGCTAACAGTGAAAAGTTTGTTTCGTCTTTTGGTACAAAAGTTTCTGTCAGCTTGTCATCTGGAATTGGTTCCAACAAACCTTTCTCGAAAAGAATGTTTACAGCTCTGACAATGTTGCACTTGCCTTTTCCGAACAATGGGTTTGTAAGACTTTCGTTCAACATGAAGTGGTTGTGGACAATTGCAATCTTCAACCATGGTAAATTGAACTCAACAACATAGTCGTCATGTGAAGAACCTTTTAGCTGTAGGTATGTTGACTCGGATATTGACATTTGCCAACGGTGCAATTTTTTGCCAATTGACCTCTGAGAATGTACCTTGTCTTCACACATGACTCAAGATACTTCATCTTCTCATCTGTAACAAGACCAGAGTTCCTGAGACATGTAAGAATGCAAGGTTCGTTGACAATTGTTTCAATTGAATTGTAAATTCCATACCTTGTCAAGTCAATGTCAGACTTATTTATGAAGGGGAAGTATCCAGCATGTTGTCTGACTGCTTGAGGGTTAGGTTGGTACCATTCGAACTTGACACTTGCAATTCCTTCAATTGCATTCAAAATGTCTGAGTCGGAGTCAACCATTTGTTCTCTCTTTGTAGTCTTGAAAGCGTCAAGAAGTTTTGCAGCTGTTTGTTCATTGCCATTTGCATAGTAAATGTGACCATCCAAATCCGTTATGGTCAATCTGAGATTGTGTCCTTTCTTATTTCCGTCTTGAATTGCAGCAAGTACACCCATGAAGCCTTCTTTGTTCTTTCCTTCGTCAAAGTTTACTGTAAAGGTTCGACCAGATGTAATTTGACTTCTAACTTCACGATACTTTTCATATGCATATCTTGTTCTTTCCATGGGAGCATGACCATCCTCTGCACTACCTTTTTTCCTTCTCAAGGATGCAATTGTTCGTCATGTTTCCAGTAGAATCTGGCAAAGCCGTCGTGTCCTTCAACTTGAGGTTCACTAACATCGAAAGGCATGTCCATAAGACGTTCTTCTTCTAACCTCTCTAGTCTGTTTGGATAATTTGCACGTGCTGTTTCCAAATCCATTTCGTAGCGAAGACCAGACAATTTGTCATAGACTTTTATGGGTCTTCCCTTCCTATATTTAAAATTCTTCGAAACTCTCCAACCATATCTTTGTAACTCTGCTTTTATTCTAGCAGATTTTCTATCCATTCTATATGGGGGCATTTTTATAAAAATAAAAAAAAAATTTTTTTTCTTTACTTAACATAACCGCCTGCTGCCATAAGTCTTTGACGCCAACCCATACCAGCTAATGAAGGTTGACTTGGTTTAGTTTCCAAACTAAACTTTGGTTTTGGTTTATCTTCAGTTTTTGGTTTTTCTTCTTCTATCGGTTTTTCGTCACTTTTCGGTTTCTCTGACTTTACTTCACCTGCAGGAACAGTTGTGTCGTCAACATCTTCATAAATATCATATGCCATTTGTTTTTGTTTTCCTTTCAACTTTTTGTGTTTGTTGTAAAGTTTAGAATATTTCGACTCTAAGTCAATGAGATGTTCTATAATGAACTGTTGGTCAGTGAAGTAAACTTTTCCATCTGTTGTCTCGAAAGCTCCTTCAGACTTCAATATTTTATTTGTGAGAGTCTGTTTCTTTTTTGAGATACTTGCCGTTCCATTTTTATGAAAAGTGACTTTGTAGTTAGGGTTTGTATTTCCAGACCTGGCACTTTCTATTATTGAATTTTTCTCTTCATCTGTAAGTTCTTTGACAGGTTTTGACAATGGTTCTGAACTTTTTGTTTGTGGTGTCAAATCTACCGTTTCAACTTCTTCGGTCATTTCATCTCAGTAAAAAATTTTAGTTTGGTTTGTTTTCAACTGGTTGTTGTTGTTTTTTAAGTCGGTCTAAAACTTCCTGAGGTATAGGAAGAACTTGACAAACACGTGGTGTAACTGCTGGAAGCCGACAAATCCATCTTGAACCCATTTGTCTCAATGCTGTATTGTTCATTTCATCTCAGTAAAAAATTTTACATTCCCCACGTTTGAGGCGGTTGAGGTTGGTTATTGTTTACCCACTGTTGTGCATGGTTATATCCTCTGTTAAAGAATCTTTCACCTTGGTCCATATAGTGTCCTGCTTGGTTATAGTAGTCATTTGCTTTGTTATAATAGTTTCCTGCTTGTCTTCCTACATTGTCCATCCATCCTTGAACTTTTCCTCTTGTTTCAGGATTTGGAATAAGATTTGTTGCATCTCGTGCTACATCCCAACCTTTCTGTACAGTTTGTATAATAGGTTGTGCTTTCTCTTTAAGTATACCTAATGTACTCAAAATCTTCCTTCCAACTCCAAATACACCTCTGGCTATTGTTCCCACTGCGGGCAAAAATCTGGATGCAACTCCTGCTAATGCGCCAAATAAACCCATTTCTTATGGGTTAAAAAATGACGAATCCAAACAAGGACCCCTATGTTTCTAAGGCAACAAAAAAAGCACTCATGATAAAAATCTTTAGTTCAACACCAAATGCTTGGTTTATGGATATCTTGGAAAACATTCCGAGAGTTAGAACAGATGGACCACCATACTGGCTAATATTTGTCGGTCAAAACACAAGATACTGTGAAGCCATACCATTATGGTCCAAAAATATTTTAGATGTGAAAACTGCTTTGACAATATTCGTTGACAAATACCATCCAACAAAACTGACATCTGACTATGAAAGTTCTTTCAAATCAGATGATGTAAAAAACTATCTGCGTTCAAAAAATGTAAACCAATATTTCATTGTCGACCAAAACCATTCTGCTCTTGGTGTCATTGACGGTTGTATAAAAATGTTAAGAGACTTAAACCAACCACAAGGTGGTGAAGCAAATGAAATGTCATATGACGACAAATATAGACACTTCTCCATGGCAAAGATGAGACAAGTTTTAAATATTTACAATAGCCGTAAACAAAAAGGTTTGGGAAACCACTCCCCCGAAGAAATGAAAAACAACCCTGACTTAGAGAAAGACTATATATTTAATAATTTAGTCAAAAGAGACAAACAAGAAAGAATGCCGGGCTTCAAACTTCAGAAAGGCGACAAAGTAAAAATAGAAATACCTAAACGCGACCCATATGAAATACTATTGACTATGACAACAATGGGAACCGACAGGTACTCACATTCGTGTTCGTAAAAATAGAAGAAAGTATACAAGAGAATATTATGAAGTTTTAGGCAAACATGGCAAAATGTACACACTGCAAGCAGAAGATAAAACTACTATTGTCAGACCTCGTTTCAAACTTGTCAAAGTTCAAGGTGGTATACTTTCAAAGACAGTTCCTAACAAATATAAGACAACTCCTGACGAATATGCTAAAGAAGTTGAAAATGACGACTAAGCAATTCTATACCATGCGTAAACTGTCATGTAAGGTGGCATGTAGTCTTTACCCAAGCCTGTTGGATTTGTTGTGAAAGTATGTGTATGATTTCCTCCTGGTTCAGTTGGTCGAAAAGTCTTTTTTGCTGAATGGTTATAATCTGGAGATAAAACGTCATTGCCAGCATAATATTCTGAGTTGTATAATGGATGGTCTCTTAATGAGTGACTATGGTCGCCAGAAAAGTTTGTAGTTCCTGTATGAGTGTGCGGTGGAAGGTTTGCTTCAGTAATTTTCTTCGAACCTCCTGTTTCCTTTGAAGAGTTTGCACAATACAAAAACCTGTCGACTATTTGTTCCCATGCACCAACACCAAACATTACTTGAGGACCTCTTGCTTCCATAGATGTATAAATAGAACCTACTGGGTTCATTAAATCAAACATATGAGATATTATAGGATTGTCTCTTTTGAACTTAAAATATAGTGCAACTATTTCAGGTTTCTTCTGGTTTGTGTCAGAATATTTTTTATAATATAATCTTATGTTTTCAGGGTGGGTAAAATCTTGACTATAATATTTATTTCTGTCATCTATATAATAATATACTATTCTCGTTTTTTCTATTGCATTATATCTTTTATATCTATAATAATCTAAATATAATGTTTGCTTTTGTTCATCTGCATGTAGTGTTCCTTCGTCATCTACATAGTCATAATAATATGGTGCTGGAGCTGGGTCAGGCAATGTCATATCTGCCATTTCATAAACTCGGAAATATTTCTTTTGTTCGTCTCCATATAAGTTTAAGTAGCAGTTGTTGTCTAATGGAACTTTAACTTGTGTACCATTATTCTTTATATAGCTTACATACATTTCATTGTTATTTTTCGGAATGAGTTTATACCGTATACCATTTTTTAAGGAATGTACAAACTGCCATCTAAAATATTTATTTTCTTCATTGACAGAAAAGTCACCAACAATAGTTTCAATATTTTTTGTTGTTCCTATCAAACTTTGGTATATTTCATTGACATATGTTTTATCTGCTTTCTTTTCAAGGCTAACGTTTAAGTCTGTTATTTCAGATATAGAATGTGTATGTCCAACGGCACTTTTACTGTTTAAGGTTTCTTGTAAGTCTGTTATTTCAGATATAGAATGTGTATGTCCAACGGCACTTTTCCTGTTTAAGGTTTCTTGTAAGTTTGTAATATTTGCAATGGTATGTGTATGTCCAACGGCACTTTTACTGTTTAAGGTTTCTTGTAAGTCTGTTATTTCAGATATAGAATGTATATGAGTCTTTTTAGAATATTCGTTTTCAGCTCTTGTCACTTCACTTGACATTTTATTGTCAACATATGTTTTGTCTGCTAGTTCAGGATGAGTATGTTCTTTTGTTGCATAAGCATTGTTAGCTCTTTCTTCTTCTTTTGCTATTGCATCGTCTACATATTCTTTGTCAGCTTTGTTGTCAACATCTGTTTTCAAAAGAAGTTCATTTATAGGTTTCTCGTTTAAAGTTCCTTTTGTTGGATTATACAGACATTGTTCTTCTGTCTTGAAACAGAAACTCATCTGTCATTGGGTTTAATGTCAGTTTTAAGTTTCCTTCTTTCAATGACTCAGATATTTAGAATAGTTTGAAAAGTTTGTTGTGTTCTTATTTAGAGCTTGCATAATGAGTTGTCGGTTGTGTTGTATTTCTCTCATAGACGCTGTTTCATTTGACATTTTTATTCTAGATAAAATATGCTTTCAATAGAAAAAGAAAATTCAAGAGTTGCTACAACTAAACCATTAGATGAACTTTTTACTAATGTCGGTCAAAAGTTTGAGACAGAGACCGTAAAGCATGAAGGCTATCGTTTTGACTACCCATTAAGATGGTTAAGAGACCCATCTGTCACAAAAGCTATTGGCTTTCGTAGAATGAAGTTCATTTCAGAAGCCATACATGGTTTCCCATTTACGGTCGGTTTTGAAGTTCGATACTATAACAAAGAAAAACGTATGTATGAGAAATTTGAACAGGGAAAACTTTTACAAGTTAGTTTGCTTGTAAACTTAGAAACAACTCTTCAAGCTTTTCAAGAAAAAATAAACGATATCTATATCGAATATGCAAACCAGTATAACATTGACGAGGGAGAGTACCATCTCGATATTATTTATGACAGGAAAAATGCAACTGTTAAAATCAATAAAATAGAAGACCTTGGAGAAAACGTTTATATTTCTACAAAATATAACAACTTGGCATGGTATAGATTTATGAGGATGTTAAATCAGCCTGCAGCATATCCAGTACACCCAGACTTTTATGAAGTCGAAAACCCTAATGGAACATATGAAAATATTTTCGACCAAGATGCTATTATTGTTCATGCTTCATTTTCTGGCGCCCAAACTCTTTCTTATGCTTGGCAAATGACTTTTACGAAAAACCTACAAAGTTATACGAACCACCAAGTGGAAGTATTTCAGACTTTCAAGTATGGTTTACTACAGATGGAAGAAAAAGAATAATTCCATTATACCATGTGTTTTACTTAGAACTTAGTTTCATATACAACTACTATCGAACGGTAAAAATATAATTTTTTAATACGGTTGAGGTGTTGGATTTGGTTGCCAACTAGACTGTGGTGCAGGTTCAGGCTGTTGTATAACAGGAGCTTGTTCTTCTGGTTCAGGGTCTTTAGGTATAATACCAACAAACTGACCTACTCTTTTACCAATATTTTTGACTCCGTTCCAAATTCCTCTTCCTACGGTTTTTATTCCATTCAATATACCTCTTCCAACTCTTCTGAAGAAGTTTCCAATACTACTGAAGAAACCCATTTTACTATATGTAAAAATCTAATGTCCACCTAGTCTCTTACGTTTCCTGTTGAGTTCCATAGCATTCTTTAACTGGAGCTCATACATTCTGTTTCTCCTCTGGTAGAAAACATATTCTGGGTCAACTCCTGTGTTCGCGTCATCTGCATAAAGTTGTTTATATCCCACTTCAGGGTTTGTATAAAACTCTTTCCATCTCATATTTGCATACCATGGTGGCAAACCTAACGCAGCGTCATTTGACATGGCAGTTTGCATTTGTACATCTGTTGGCACTTGACCATAGTTTGCCATCGCAGTTTGTATTCTAACTTCATTTGGAATATTCTCTGGGTTTGGTTGTCCAGGTTGCTGTGCATTCGCTAAGTTCTGTGCGTCCATTTAATATTAGATAAAAATATCTCTTACGAGTACATATGCTGAACATTTGCAGGCATTGGTTCATCTTCATATTCTCTGTACTTTTCTGCCACGTCAAATAAATAAATGACACAATGGAAAAAACCTAAAACAAGTAGTCCTATTTCAAACCACATTTACTTACTAATAAAATTTCGTTATTGTGACACTTTCTCCGGTTTATAGGACCTCTCTCATATTCTATCTTGTCATATCTAAACTCATAGTCATGTATGTCCTCTAACCATCTCATAACGGTTTCCAAACCACTTTTATCGGATGTAAAGTAAAAGCATGGATGGTTATGTAAAACGTCTAAAGTTTCTAAAGAGTCTCTCAAAGTCCAGTCTACTTGGTATTGAAAATCCCATGTGTTATAGAACGGCGGGTCCACTATAAAGAAAACATTTTCCTTGTCTTTATATTTTTCATACAACTCTGTCCAATGACATCTCACAAACTCTATACCCTCAATATATTTTTCTATGTTCTCTTTGAAAACATTTGTATAGTTGAGATATAAAACTTTTGACATAAGTGTTTCAATGTCATGAACTCTTATAGAACCACTATATAATAGTCTAGCAGATATACTATCCCAGTCTATATATTCTGCTTTTTTCAAAACCTCTCTCACAATATTTTTCTTATCTAATGGTATACGTTCCATCTTACCTATAGGTATCTTTTCTTTTAACTCTTTCAATATATTGTTTGTGTCTGGTATATGTTTGAGACGGTCCATATAGTTGTCGAAGTCATTGCATATAATCTTTGAGTCTGGGAATATTGTATGACATAAATGGGATATATAGAAACTTCCACCGAACAAATCTACAAATGTTAGACCATTCGGTAGTTTCTTAAGCTCTCTCAATATAATATCTTTACATTTACTCTTATTTCCAAAGAACGGTAACGGAGGTTTTGTAAAATTCATTTATATATAATAATAAAAATGTTTTTTTCCTGAAAAGTGACAGAAAAGTGACAAAACATGAAAACATATATAATTTGTGAAAAGCGACACATTATATAATGTTTTCGACCCAGAAGAAGGCTTCTCAAAGTATACTTCCTTGGAACGCCTGTAACTTTTCCTGTAGCGACGATAGACCCTTACTTGTCCGGACAAAGTTATACTAAACATCTTCAGGGCTAGAGGGCACGAAGTGCCTGGAGGCCCCACTACCTTTTTTTTTTTTTTATTTAAATAATAATTTGTGTAAATATCATGATCTTCTTTCTTAATTGTATTAGTTGCATATGTCACGTTTTTAAGAACTTTTTTGAATTTTTCGGAATCTAAAGGTGGTGAAAGTAATATACATGGGTATTCTTCATTATCAATAAATTGTAACTTATGTTTACGAATAAATTTAATACCTTCTTCTGAAAGTGTTTCGTCTATTTCACCATCTAATAAATTTTGTGTTGATTCTGAGACATAATTTTTATATCTTTCTTCATGAGATTTCTGAACTTCTGATTCTGAAGCTGGGATATTCATTAAACCCTCTACTTCATTTTCATTATATTTTTCAACTTCTCTTAATTCCTTAATTTTTTCATCTATTTCATCTCTTATTTTTTTCAGTCTTTCAATTTCATTGTATTCATCATCTTTAATCCGTTCTTCATAATATTCAGGGAAAACATCAGGTTCTTCGGGTTTTTCTTCTTCAGATGTAGGATATAAGAAATTTATAACATCATCTTTATTCATTTTTCCATCATAATTTAAATCATTTAATAACTCGGCAAATTTTTTACAATTTCTTAAATAATATTTATTAACTTCATAACCCGCCTCCTCTAATATATCCTTTATTTCCTCGTTTGTGAATCCTAATTTTTTAACGTTGTTAGTTTTGACGCTCATTTCATACAAAATAAAAAAATAAAATAATAAACATAACTAAGTTTTAATTTTTCGTAAGAAGTTTATTTTTTAATAATTCAAGACACAAGCTTTATAAAATTCATCTAATTTTTTCTTACCCCGTATATAATCTTTATATAAAGCCTTTTCATTTAATCTATAAACATCACCTTCATAAATGAAAAATTCATCAGACGTGTCATCATTTTCTATTTCTTCTAATTCACTGGCTTTCTTTAAGTATTTTTTATTCCAATCATCAACAAGAGGTTTTATATTTTGTATAAATTTTTCTTTATAATCCGGCTTATATTTATATTTTTCACAAAATTGAATATAATTTTCATATAAATCTTCTGCATGCAATGATATACTCACCATTATTATGTTGTCTCCCACGAATTTTGTTCCGTTCATTTCTTACGAATTAAAAAAATAAATTATTCAAAAATGTAAGACATGAATTTTTAAAGTTTATTTTTTATTCATGAAAATAATTATTTCTAATTTCTTTTACTCTCTCGTATATACTAGATTTAAAGAATTCAGAACATTTCCCATAATCTCCTAAATGTTTTCTTATCTTATTGGTTTTCCATTCATTATATGAAACTGTATAAACTTTATC